TACACAAGCTGAAGAAGCATATACTTTTAAAGATACCTAAAGTCCTTTGATATGTGGCAGAAATCTGAGAAAGTCAGAATCAACAGCACCACAATAAAAGTAGAGCTGTCTGCAAAGATCAGCTTTAGGCAATAACTAAAACAGTAATAATAGCAAGTAGCATTTATTATGCACTCACTACATGCCTGATAACCAGATTCTAAGTGTTGTGTGTGGAGGGTCACATTTAAGCCTTCTGATCCAACAAAAATGGGTGTTTTATTATTATCCCCCTTTTACAAATGAGAAAATGAAGCTCTGAAAGATTAAAAAAACACAAATAAACACACACACAAACAAAAAACAAAAACAACTTATTTAAGGTCACAAACATTGTAAATAAAAGAGGACCAACTCAGACCTGGGGCATGCATCTAACTTCAGAACCCGCCTTGCTTACCACCATTTTGCTACAAATGATGGCGCAGGGAAAGGTGAGGGCATCAGAGAATCTCAGGACCTACCTGGGTGAAGAGAGCTGTGTGCTCCTAGAATGAAGAATCTACAGATTGGTGTAATTTTTAAAAAATATATTTTGATTGATTTTTTTACAGAGAGGAAGAGAGAGGGATAGAGAGTTAGAAACATCAATCAGCTGCCTCCTGCACAACACCCCTCCCCCCCACCCCCAATGGGGATGTGCCCACAACCAAGGTACATGCCCCTGATCGGAATGGAACCTGGGACCCTTTGGTCCACAGGGTGATGCTCTGTCCACTGAGCCAAAACAGTTATGGAAAGATTGGCTTAATTTTGAATGTTTGACCACTTTTTAAAAAGTGTAGTCCTTCAGGTTAGCTATCAGTTCTTCTGTTACGCATAGTACAGTGTCAAAAGAAAATGTACCAAGATGTGGTACACACATACAGGAATGTTACTCAGTTATATAAAAAAAGAAGAAAATCTTCCTATCTGTGATAACATGGACGGGCCTAGAGGTTATTATGTTAAGTGAAATAAATCAGAAGAGGAAAAATAAGGAATGAGTTCACTTACCCGTAGAAAATAAAAAACAATGGAACAAACAAAACAGAACCAACTCACAGAGAAAGACCCACGAGAGATGCTGCTGGAGGGGAGGAGTGGGAAGGAGATGGGTGAAAAAGGGGAGGACAGCTGGGAAGTATGAACTGCAAATTACAGAACAAGTCACCATACAGAATACAGTCAATAATATTGTAATAACTATGAATGGTGACAGGTGGGTGCTAGTCTTATCACGGTGGCCATGTTGTTAGGTTTATAAATGTCTAATCGCTGTGCTGCACACCTGAAACTAATACAATATTGTATGTCCACTATAATTAAAAATCAATTTAAAAATAAAAGAGTATATACATTGATAATTTGAAAGAGCCCCCCCACTCCCATCTGTCACAGCCTTCTTCTCTAGGCTGTCCCTCCTATCTGCTTTTCTCCCTCCCGTCTCCTTGGAAAGAATGCTCAGTTGGATGATTAGATATGCTATGCTTCCTGCAGAGATATTTATAAATAGGATAAAATGCCTATCAAACTTTCCCTGGGCAGCTTTAGAAAGATGAAATCTTCTAAATCATGCCAGTAGTAAGATTTAAAAAAAAAAAAAATGACTGTAGGTAACATAACAAGAATATGAGGTCAATTTGATATTTCTGAAGAATGACATGATGTGTGCTTTGTACTCTGCATCAGGGTCAGCCAATAATGAACACTTCTTTGGCATGTTACTTAGGATGCGCTCCATGATGGGATCGTGAGCAACATTCACCAAGGATGGGGTGTCCACTCTCAACTCAAGTCTGGCAACATGACTTCCAGAACAATCTCAGTGCATCAGTGGCCTTTCCTGTAAAATGAACAGCTGAGCTCTCTCTAAGGTCTCATCCAGATGCAATACTTCATGAATTAGAGCCCATGTTTACTTTTAAAAATCAGAGCTATAAATTTTTAGGGCATATTGTGGGTCACAGAAAAATTAATTTGCGGAGTTTGTGTAAAGGACCTTTAAACAGATTTAAAAATGAAGAATTGCCGGGGGGAGGGGGAGAGTGAGGGGGGTGGTTTGGGGGCGGTTAGAAGTATTGTTCAATTACTTAATACTAAGCAAGCCACTAGGCTAAGAAAAGTCAAGACTTAAGTTTCCCAAAGAAAGAATTTCTTCGTTAAGCTATCAAACACTGGTTTCTCCTTTATCGTTTTTGTCTGCTTGTGAGAAAGGCATTTATTTCATAGTATCTCTACAGCTCTCAGAATGGCTGCTTCTACTGTGACCAATCAAAACTGATCTTTGACAATTACATTCATTTCTCTGGTTGCATAGGTTTTAAAGAACTTAAAAACGCCTTGGGATAGAAGCAGACTCCAGGGCAGTTTTGATCTGCTCATGTACAGGCATACCTCATTTTATTGCATTTTGCTTTATTACACTTCACAGAAGTTGCCTTTTTAAATTTTTTTTTACAAACTGAAAGCAAGGCCCTCCTCCAGCAAAAAGATTACAACTCACTTTATTGCGAATCTCATTTTACTACAGTGAGTGTCCTGGAACTTAACCAGTGACACCTCTGAGGTATGCATGTACACTCAGTCCTCCTCACTCACACAGTCCTGTGGGTATCCTCTCCCTCTGACCTTGAGGCACATGTCTTAAACTCACTCAAAGAATTTGTCCTACCATAAATTATGAAATAGTTTAATACAAATATATGGAGATTCTCCACTGAATTCCCACACATTCAGATCTCATACAAAGGCATTCTTTACACATGTGAAATACTAGGATACATTTCTCCAGATGGTTTCCTTTAGTAGCTCACATAAGAAATGCAGATGCAGTAACTCAAAAAATACATTTACCTCTTTTCACACCCTTAACTAGGTTCTAAGTCCTCAATACAGCTCCTTTATATGAGTCTTAAGTTACCTGATAAGAAGAAGACAGAAACGCCTCTCAAACAAATTACCAATAGTTTACAGAAAAATTAGGCTGAACATAATTGACTATCCATTAACAATCTTTTCTTGCTTTCCTATATTAATGTTCAATGGTCATTGTCTACTCTGGTGCTTAACCTGTTGAAATTCAAATTTATTCATCTGCTTGTCAGAATGGGAGCCCTTCCCAGACACTCCAAAATGGACCTGTTCTGGGAACAGTCCTTTGAGTGGGGACATTTGCATTTGCCCATATTCAATGTGTGTGTTTCAGAGCAGAGAGACCGAAACAGGCAAGGTAACAACACAAGGGTGGGTATTTAGTAAGCTCCTTCAGAGTCAGGTCTTCAAAGTGTGGCTTTTATGATTTTTGCAAAGATCGTTTTCCACACCAGAACTACCCATACAAGTAAATTGGAAATTTAAGTTTCAAAATAAAAGTTTGTTTTAATCTGCCAATGTAGATTATTCATACACCTGATCCTTAATAAAAGGGTTAACTATTAATCGTTAACATAAATTATAGATTCAAGAACAACCTAAAGCTAGTGTAAGTATAAAAATATATCTTAGCTATCGGCCATCAATATGAAAATATTTCTAAACTTATAATTATATAAACAGGTCTGCAATAATAATAATAATAATAATAAAAACTAGAACCTGTTTAGAAGTCAATAGTAACCCCACCGCTGATAGGACCTGATGCCTTACCTGACAGACCCCAAACTGGCCAATCGGCCCCAACCCCCACCCCATTTAGGTTGTAGGAACTCCCCCCCCCAAAAAATCACCCTAATTTTTTGAAAAATTTTCTAACTTCTGTGCTTCGTTATTCTAATACTGCTTTTAAAGCTAAGGACAACTTGAGTACAATTTTTAAAGGAACAAACTCATGAAAATATATTACGATATATGTCATAAATTTCAGGGAAATTTCAGAGTTAATTTATTTACAAATTTACCGTGTGTGTGTGTGTGTGTGTGTGTGTGTGTGTGTACTTCAATTTTAAGTTTTACACCAAGATTGAACATCCATCAAATAAGTAACCCGGGGGACAGGGAGGAAATCCAGGGTATAAGTCCTGACCCCATCAACAACAGGCTCTGGGCCCTTCCACGTTCATCTCTAAAATTATTTTAAGGTCCCCTCCAGCTTTAAGCCAGTCATGAGCCAGACACATGGTACACATTCTATCTGAAAATAACGAGAGAAATTAGGAAAGACCTCAATGAAGTCCATGTTTGTCCTAGGTTAGTTCTGTCATCATTGTGGCAAACCTGTTGCATCACATGGAACACTTATTTTTCTGACTACACCACAAATGCAAGAGCCAGGAGGTTTGGCTTTTTCCATTTTTCATTTTTTTTTTTTAAAGTTAAACACCCCCTCCCCCAAGGGTAGCAAGTTCTCAAGTTTCACCTTGATAGCCTGAAAGTACACACACACACACACACACACACACACACACACAGGATGCCACCTGGCAGACCGGGCAGCATGCATGCCTGAAGGCTGGGGCGGGCTAGCTTTGCGGTTCCAGTCTTTTTATCACGTGTGACTGATGCTTCGTGTTGACATTGGCTTCCTTTCAAAGCCACGTCCACGTCTCACCGGGGCTGTGTGGGACCTCCACGGCCCCTGTTCTCAGAGAGACAATTCTCAGTTACCAGCCAATGGGGGGGGGGGGGGGGGGAAGCGGTTTTGCGCACACCACTTGCCCATGCAGTTCATGCCTCCCTCGTGTGGAGCATGCAAGTGAAAAGCAACGGAATGCAACCTCGGAGAGTCACTGGCCGCACGGATCCCACCGCTGCAAAAAGGGGAAACGAAAGAGCCTTGGGCACCACACCTGGTGGAGACAGTTAATTCCCATGCCCCCTGGACCCTGTCACAGGCCAGCACTCATAGTTTCCAAGGTTTGTCGTTTTCTCTCTGAAAGAACACGGCGGGTGTGTGTGTGTGTGTGTGTGTGTGTGTGTGTGTGTGTGTGATGTTAATGTATGTATGTATGCCCAGTGGGCATTGCTAAGCCCCGTGCACTCACCTCCTTGATCTTCGCCCTCTTCTCTCGGACGGCGGCGTCGGCCGGCTCCCGGTCCACAGTCCCGATGGGCGGCACGAAGCGCACGGGGGGCAGCCCGCGGTACCCCGCCCGGTCCCGCAGCTGGTCCTGGGCCACCTTCTCCTTCTCCAGCAGGATGTCCCTCTGGATCTCCTCGGGCTGCTTCTGCAGCGTCTCCTTGGCTTCCCGGAGCGCCCGCTCGTGGTTCTCGCGGATCCGGGCCAGGTTGTCCTCCAGGCCGGCGCCGGGGTCCCCGGGGGCGCCCCCCTCGCCGCCGGCGCGCGCCCCGGGCCCGGGCTTGCGGTCGGCGGGCGGCTGCAGGGCGGGGCTGGCGTGGAACAGCACCCCGCTGAGCAGCTTGGAGGAGTCGGGCAGGAAGAAGATCGCCCCGAAGCACAGCGTGATGAAGGCGCTGAACACCAGCAGCAGCACGAACTTCTCCGTCAGGCGGAAGGCGGAGGGGCCCGACCCCTTCCTGCCGCCGCCGCCGCCGCTACCGCCGCTGCCAACGCCGCCGAGCCCCCCGCCCAGGCCGCCGGCGCCCGCGGGGCCGCCGAACAGCGGCAACAGGCCCCCCACCGGCATCGCTGCCCCCGCCGCGCCGCCCGCTGCCCGGGGGCCCCGCGCCCCGCCGCTCAGCAGCCAAACTTCGCCGCCGCCCGGCGCGGTCCGCGGCTGCGGGGCCGGGGGGTCCGGCGCATCCAGGCCGCCCGCACCCCGGGGCTGGGCGGCTGCAGGCACCCCCCGGGCACCCCGCTCCCCTCCGGCTCTTCCTCCCGGGCAGGCGGCTCCTCGGGCGAAGAAGCGGCAGGCGCGGCAGGCGGCCGGCGGCAGCCCCTGCGGGAGAGAAGCGGAGAGACGCGGTGAGGACCGGGCTGGTGACAAAGTTTCCAGCGGGTCCCCGCCCTCCGACGGCCGCGGGAGCCTCCGGGCGCGGGATCGCGGGTCGGGGCGCAGGGCACCACCCTCCGAGCCCAGTGGCTAGACTTGGGGGGAAGTTTTCGGACCCCGGGGTTGGGGGATGGAGAGGTGTCCCGTGCGCACCTGGAGCAGAGAGGGTGGCGCGCGCGCGGGCACCTCCTGGAGAGGGGAGCGCCCCTGGGGGCAGGCAGGGCGCAGCGTGGATGGAGGGGGGGACTCGTCAACTTCGCTCCCTCCCCATCTCGGACCACCGGGACCGGCTGCCTCTGCTTCCCCGGCGGCGGCTGAGCTGGCAGCCCGGACGGTGCGCCCCGCTGGCTGGCTGGCTGGCTGGCTGGCTGGGAGCGCAGAGCTGCCCGCCGCCCTCCGCCGCGGCCCCGGGAGCACTGGCCCCGCAGCCCGGCGCCCGGGCGGTCGGAAACGGGGGCGGGGCCGCGGCCGGAGAGTGACGGCGCGGCCGGGCCAATGGCGCGCCGCGCAGGGTCCCTCGGGGGCGGGGCGGAGGCGGGGAGGGCGCCGGGCGGGGCAGCGAGTTTACGGGAAGCGCTGCCTCGCGGGGGCCCGGCCGGCCGGGGGCGGGGAGGTCCCGGGCCCCCGGGGCGCGCGGCGGGGCGGGGGGTGCGGGGGGCTCGGGGGGTGCGGGGGGAGCTCGGAGGCCCGGCGGAGGCCCGCGGGTTCGGGGAGTGCATCCTGCGCTGGCCTCGGGCCCGGGGATGGGGGTTCCCGGGCGGACGCGGGACCTCCCGGACCGCACCTCGGACCCGTGCCGAGAGTCCAGGGGGAGCTCGCCCCGAGGGGGTGCGGGCCAGGGCAGGGTCTCCAAGGGGATCCCGGACCCTGGGTCCTTTGCAAGCGCGTCTTTTCCAACAGATTCCCCTCTTTTTACCCAAGGCTGGGGTTCCGCCGATGCCCCGTAGCCAGGAATCCGAAAGTCCCCGGGCGCGGAGCTGGGGTCGGAGAGCCAGGGAGCAGCCGGGTCTGCCATCCTGAGCGGCTCGGGTGCTGTGGTGGCTCAGGATTCTGCCCATGCATCCAACCCCCCTTAGGAAAAAAAAAAAAAAGTCTGTGCCTCGCCCACCCACTCCCACTTTGAAATGCATTTACCTCATAGACGCTGTCACATTTTCCATTTAAAGAAGACAGTTTTCTGTTGCCAGGGCTTCAAGTCATAAATTCGAGCACCGTGTTGAAATAAAGTCTTGGATTTGACCACGTCCAAGGAACTAAGGACTGTGTCCCAAAGGGATTGTTTTCAAGATAGCATTATTTTCCAAAACGTGTTGGTCATTCCCCCGTGGCTCTGCAGATAAAGGGTTATCAGGAAGGGAAAAGTTGACTGATTTCTGAAAGCTAGTTCCTAGCAAGCCTCCTTCTAACCTTTACCCTTCTCTGGGACGTGATTTGAGCTCTGTTTCTTGCTTGTTGTCTTAAAACAAAGCAAACAGCTGGCCCCTTTCAGGAAAGTGCCCACAGGACAGTGGATAGACTAAGAGGAAATGTAAAAGTAAATTAAAAATTATTATGACACTTTTCATTTAAGTGTTCATTTTAACCATCATGGTTTGTTGTATAATTGCTTTGTGTGAAATGAGTCATACGTCCAAAGCTCCTGTTGATGGGAAATTTATTGTCTGATAAAACCAACCTGATGGCTTGATTATTTTGATAACTGCTATGAAATTCTATGTCCAGAAGAGTGCAGCATATCCAAGCAAGGTGACAAACGTTAGGAGGATTGGAAAGAAAATAATGATTTTTTTTTTAAATGATGGAACGGTGATTTTTCTTTCAAAGTTGTGGGTAGATTTAAAAGTTTGAATCCTTGGGAAATAATGTTGTTTTCAACATCAGCCTTAAAACAGAGTTACCTCATGGATAGATAAATAGATAACAGGTTGGGTTAATTGCCCTAAAAATCAATCTCTTTGAGAATGATTTATTATTTTAACTCTTTGTTTTAAGGTTAGGATTATTTATTATAGCCACAAAAAACATTTAGACACTTTGATTTATAATTAATATTACCAAGTATTCTAGGGAAGCGATCTACTTTTTTTAGATTTTATTTTCAATATATTTTTATTGTAGACAGTGCTACAGATGTTTCCCATTCTCCCCCCTCCCTTCCCCTCTCCCCCTTTTCTCCTCCTCCACCCCCCCCACCCCTAACCATCACCCCCAGGTCTTCACCACCCTATTGTCTGTGTCCATGGGCTATGCATATAAATAAGTACGTTCTTTGGTTTATCTTTCCTCATCCCCCTCCAATTCCCACATCAAGATATGTCAGTGTTCCATGTCTAAGATCTACTTTTGGGTGTGTTTTAAAATGGCAATGGGAGGTTACAAACCTAATTTTATTTCTGCCACTCTTTAATTGTAATATCAAACCAGTTTGGACATTTAAATTATCACCTATAGTTGAAACATTAAAGCTGATTTCCCCCCTAAAAACTTTAACTTTGCCCTGGCCAGTGTGGCTGGGTTGGTTAGAGTATCATCCCAGGGGCTGGTATTCTGCTGGAGGCAGCCCATAGATGTGTCTCTCTCACATTGATGTTTCTCTCTCTCTCTGCCCCCTCCTCCCTCTCTAGAATCAATAGGGAAAAGGGGGGGCGGGAAGGGAGGGGATTGGGCAAAACCCTTAAATTTGATTTCTATGTGTTGTGTTTAAATATTTTAAAGTGACTGCTCTGTTTATTTCTATTTATCTTTATGAAGTTTATTTCAAGATTGCTTTCTTTTTACCTATATTTCTTATAAACCGAGACTTATTATGAGTATAGCCTGGCTTTAAGACTTTGTTAAACAAGAAGTTGGCATTGGTGGTTGATTATGGCATATGTATTGAAGGGTGCCCATCTGTGTTAAGTAGGATGAGGAATATGTGGGGGTGCTTGCATTTGGGCTACATGAAGTTAAAAAAATTCACAGAGGTAAGACCAATAAATAAACCATGTAAAACACTTTAATCATACAAAGTGCTATGTATTCAGAGTAAGGGAAGAGTACAGAAAGATCAATAAATAAAAATGTGTATTTTGAAGCAAAATATGACATTTCACCCTAATTTCAATACCATAACCACTTCACATTCTACAGTTAAAAAAAAAATAGTGCTTTGTGTCCTGAGATAAAGCAAAAATAAAGCTGACTGATTCTGGTCTCCAAATAGTAAAAACTTGACTATTATCTGTAAATCCAGTGTCTCCTCCACCATATCTCCTCAAGATCTGTCATGATTTTTGTGAATATGTGATTGTGATGAAGTTAGTGTTTTCTCCTTATGAGTAGTCTAATGTAAACTTAGCAACCTTAGACATTTTGTGTGGTTTTTCTGTTTAAATGCATGCTGTGTTTTCTTATTTGGCCAGCCAGCCCTGAAGTATGACTCTTTGTATCTTTGGCAAGTTTACTTGCAAACTTAATTTTTACTTTTTCCTTTGCAATTATTTTGGCTCTATGTTGTTCCTTGAGAATTTGCAAGTTTTTGAGTTCAAGGGAAAATCTTTAGAATTGAGTAACCTTTAAAAATCTGACTTCAGTTAGAAATATCCCCCCAAAATATAAAGAAATCCCTAATTTGTTTGGCTGCTTAGATTTCTCTGATTTTAAAATTACATTTAACAAAGAGTATATTTAACTTTTACATGAATGTGCATAAAATTAAATATAGTAGTAATTATAATGGTTATTGATGGAAAATGATAATATTTTCATAAAAACTGGTGAATGAATATTTTTAGGAACGTAAGTTCTCAAACATTAAAGTGCAAAATTATTTCTTATTAAGAATTTTCTTGAAGGAACTAGGTGGAAGTTTATGGGAGAATCCTTTTGAGAATCTTCCTTATTTAATTTAAAAATAAAAAGTAATCTAATAAAGTAACACATTTAACACATATGTATAATAATTAACTACTGAAATTCTCTAACAAGTTAGATTTCTCTTCAAGTCTTCCTATAGTTGATTTTCTAATTGTCTTCAAATTCCATTTCAGGTCAGAATAGGCTATTGCTTTTATTTTTAAAACACCAAAATGTAACATGCAAAAAAAAAAAAATAGTTCATTTTGAATACTAATCTTGACATTTCAATACTTTAATGGGCAACTCTGAATTTTATATGAAGTTAATTAAGATGGGAATTAACCAAAGTTTTAAAATAAGCTATCAATAATATTTGTGGTCATGGGAGGGGTTACAGTCCTATCTCTAATTTTCTACCCCACCTCTTGATTTACTTTGGAACTGCCTAAGTAGCATATTATTGTTTTAGAACTCCAATCACGTGTGTGTGTGTGTGTGTGTGTGTGTGTGTGTGTGTGTGTGTTTTGCTGAGTAAGAGGCTGAATTAATCAGCCCCCTCTGTCTCTGCTTGAAATATTTTTTTTGTTGTTGTTGTTTTGAACATTCATTTCATATATATGGGCAGTCCCCAAACTAAAAACAGTGTCTCCCACCCAGTATTTATGCATCAGCTCTTTGGAACTTTGAGAGATTTCTCTCCATAGAAATAAAGTTGTACGTGGTGCTTTGGGTTACTAGTCTGTTCTACAAAGATCTAAGACCTTAGGGAAGAATAAAATGTTGGCGAAAATAATGTCACAATGCAACTAATCAAAGTAGCATTAAGTTAGAAAGTGTTTTATTTATCTCAAATG